GAGAATGTAATGTTTTATTAGAAGCTAGACTTGAGAAAATGTATGAAAAAATGGACTTGACATTATTGAACAGATTGCTCCGTTTAATTGTTGATCACAACATTGCCGATTATATGACAGCTAAAAACAACGTTACAGTGAACTACAAGGATATGAACCATACAAACTCTTTTGGTATTTGATTAAAAATGCCTTTTTAGTATTAAATCAATTTTTTAGGAATCATTCGAGGTCTACAATTTGCATCATTTATCGTTCAATATTATGGACTTGTTTTGGATCTGCTCATTCTTGGACTTCGTCGTGCTAGTGAAATTGCTGGACCACCACAAGTATTTTATAATTTTTTCAAAATTAAATTCATTTAAATTTTCCTAGTGTCCAAACGAATTTTTGTCATTCGAAGATGTCATTGTTCAGTCATGCCACCCAATTCGTCTTTATTGCCGTTATATTGACAAAGCTTGGATCTTTTTCCGATTTAACGCTGATGAGACAAAAGATTTAATTCAACGTTACCTTTCTGAACATCCAGATCCAAACAATGAAAATATTGTTGGATATAACAACAAAAAGTGCTGGCCTCGAGATGCTCGTATGCGTTTAATGAAACATGATGTTAACCTTGGTCGTGCTGTATTTTGGGATATTAAGGTTCTTTATAGTTATTTTATGATTATTTTTTGTTTCGTTTCTAGAATCGTCTTCCTCGTTCTCTTACAACTATTGAATGGGAAAATTCATTTGTTTCTGTTTACAGCAAGGATAATCCAAACTTGTTATTCGATATGTCTGGGTTCGAGGCTAGAATTCTTCCAAAATGTCGAACTGCTTCTGATGATGTGACTGCGAATAGAGACGGAATTTGGAACTTGCAAAATGAGGTTTTCAAATTCAAAAGTTTTATTTATCCTTTTCTTTAAAGATTACAAAAGAACGAACTGCCCAAGCTTTTTTAAAAGTTGATTCAGAATCGATGGAAAAGTTTCATAATCGTGTTCGACAAATTCTTATGTCTTCTGGTTCAACTACTTTTACTAAGATTGTTAATAAATGGAACACTGCGCTTATTGGTTTGATGACTTACTACCGCGAGGCTGTTGTAAACACACAAGAATTGTTGGATCTTTTGGTAAAATGTGAAAACAAAATTCAAACTCGGTTAACTCTTTATTTATTTTGTGAAGAATATTTTATTCTACTTTTAGAATTAAAATTGGTCTAAACTCAAAAATGCCTGCTCGTTTCCCTCCTGTCGTCTTTTATACTCCTAAAGAAATTGGCGGTCTTGGAATGCTTTCTATGGGACATGTGTTAATTCCTCAATCAGATTTACGTTGGATGCGTCAAACTGATGCTGGTGGTGTTACCCATTTCAGAAGTGGAATGACTCATGATGAAGATCAAATTATTCCAAACTTGTATCGCTACATTCAGGTCCTATTTTAATTTAAATTTGAAAGAAAAAATATCTTTAAAGCCTTGGGAAGCGGAATTTGTTGACTCACAACGTGTTTGGGCAGAATACGCATTGAAACGACAAGAAGCAAATGCACAAAATCGACGTCTTACTTTGGAGGATTTGGATGATAGTTGGGATAGAGGAATTCCTCGAATCAATACACTTTTCCAAAAAGATAGAAATACACTTGCTTATGACAAAGGATGGAGAGTTCGAACAGAATTTAAGGCTTATCAAATTTTGAAACAAAATCCTTTTTGGTGGACACATCAAAGACATGATGGAAAACTTTGGAACTTGAACAATTATAGAACTGATATGATACAAGCATTAGGAGGTGTTGAAGGAATTCTTGAACATACACTATTTCGAGTTGAATTTTTAAATTATTTTTGTTTAAAATTTTAACGTTAATTAGGGCACTTATTTCCCTACATGGGAAGGACTTTTTTGGGAACGTGCGTCTGGTTTCGAGGAGTCGATGAAATTCAAAAAATTAACAAATGCCCAACGTTCTGGATTAAATCAAATTCCAAATCGTCGTTTTACACTTTGGTGGTCTCCTACAATAAATAGAGCAAACGTTTGTTTTTATATTTAATTTTTTAATATTTGTTTAATGTTAGGTTTATGTTGGTTTCCAAGTGCAACTGGACTTGACAGGAATTTTTATGCATGGAAAATTGCCAACGCTTAAAATTTCTCTTATTCAGGTGAATTTTTTGAACATTTGTCTTTCTACTAATTTTTTTATACAGATCTTCCGTGCTCACTTGTGGCAAAAAATTCACGAGTCTGTTGTTATGGATTTATGTCAAGTTTTTGATCTCGAACTTGATCCTCTAGAAATTCAAACAGTTCAAAAAGAAACTATTCACCCTCGTAAATCGTACAAGATGAATAGTTCTTGTGCTGATATTTTACTTTTTGCACAATATAAATGGCATATTTCTCGTCCATCTCTTTTGGCTGATACTAAAGATGTAATGGATAATACAACAACACAAAAGTTTTGGCTTGATGTTCAACTTCGTTGGGGTGATTATGATTCTCACGATATTGAACGTTATTCACGTGCTAAATTCCTTGATTATACAACTGACAATATGTCTATATATCCATCGGTAAAAATTTATCTTATGCTACGTTCACATAAAATCGCGCGCGTCTTGCGTGCGTCTTGCGACGGACGGCAGATGACAAGATTCCGGCGTTGTTCATTAAGAACCAGCTTCTTCCGCCTCGCTTGCGTCTTGTCACCTAACATCTGTCGTAGAACGCGCGCGATTGGTTGTCGCATTAAAGGTAATGGGTCACTTATTTTTATTATTTTATTATAGCCGAATGGAATTTTAATTGCAATTGATTTGGCATATAATTTATACAGCGCTTATGGAAATTGGTTCCCAGGAATGAAAGAATTAATTCGTCAAGCTATGGCCAAAATAATTAAAGCAAATCCTGCACTTTATGTACTTCGTGAACGTATTCGAAAAGGTCTTCAATTATACTCTTCTGAACCTACAGAGCCATATCTTACATCACAAAATTATGGAGAACTTTTTAGCAATCAAATGTTTGTTTGCTTTTTTTATTTAAATTTTTTTAATTTTTTAGTATTTGGTTTGTTGACGATACAAATGTATATCGTGTAACTATTCACAAGGTTTATAATTACATAAATTTGTTTAAAAATATTTTTTGTTGTATTTAGACTTTTGAAGGCAACTTAACTACCAAACCGATGAATGGAGCCATTTTTATCTTTAATCCTCGAACAGGACAGCTTTTCTTAAAAATTATTCATACAAGTGTTTGGGCAGGTCAGAAACGTTTGAGCCAGGTTTTTTTTTTTGATTTTTTTGCTTTTTTATCATTGTTTTATTAAAGTTGGCAAAATGGAAAACTGCTGAAGAAGTTGCTGCATTAATTCGTTCATTACCAGTTGAAGAACAACCTAGACAAATTATTGTAACACGTAAAGCTATGCTTGATCCCTTGGAAGTTCACTTGCTTGATTTTCCAAATATAGTTATTAAAGGATCTGAATTAATGTTACCATTCCAAGCTATTATGAGAGTAAGAGAAAATTTTTGTTCAATAAATTCTAAAAAAATTTTTAAGATTGAAAAGTTTGGTGATCTGATTCTAAAGGCAAATGAACCTCAAATGGTCTTATTTAATCTTTATGATGATTGGCTTAAGGTTTGTAATTTTTTTAATTTTTATTTTAACTAGAGATTATTACGCCCCGATATCCCGTCATGGGTTTTGTTTCAAAAGATTGAAGGGGAGGATCCGGTGGGTTTAAAAATCGAGTTAATTCCTTTTGTCGCTTAAACCTGGGAATACTGAAATTAGGAATCATCCTCTGCCAATCTTTAATTTCAATATTTTTTTTTTCCAGACAATTTCAAGTTATACAGCATTTTCTCGAGTTATTTTAATAATGCGTGGAATGCATATAAATCCAGACAAGACCAAAGTTATTTTAAAACCTGATAGAACAACAGTAACAGAATCTCATCATATTTGGCCAACATTATCTGATGATGAATGGATTAAAGTTGAATTAGCATTAAAAGATATGATATTAAATGATTATGGAAAGAAAAATAATGTGAATGTTGGTTCATTAACACAATCAGAAGTTCGAGATATTATTCTTGGAATGGAAATTAGTGCACCATCACAACAAAGACAGCAAATTGCTGAAATTGAAAAACAAACAAAAGAACAAAGTCAATTAACTGCTACAACAACAAAATCTGTTAATAAACATGGTGATGAAATTATTTCAGCAACTACAAGTAATTATGAAACACAAACATTTTCTTCAAGAACTGAATGGCGTGTTAGAGCTATAAGGTTTGTTTGTTCGTTGTTGTTTTTTTTTGAGAGGGGAGGGGAAGTAGGGTGGTAATTTTAGGTCTCATTTGTATCCATTTCCAGGGAAGCTGCCGACATAAAAAATAAATTTTTGAATCCTCGGGGTTAGGAAATTGTGTACCTATAAGGAAGATTTCTGAATAAGCAAAACATCTTTTAATTATTTTTTGTATTTTCATCATATTTCTTTTTAAAGCTCTACAAATTTACATTTACGAACTCAACATATTTATGTCAACTCTGATGATGTTAAAGATACTGGCTATACATATATTTTACCCAAAAATATTCTTAAAAAGTTTATAACAATTTCTGATTTACGAACACAAATTGCTTTATGGAATTTCTCCTCCAGATAATCCTCATGTTAAAGAAATTCGTTGTATTATATTACCACCACAATGGGGAACACATCAAGTTGTACATTTACCAAATCAACTTCCACAACATGAATTTTTGAAAGATTTGGAACCTCTTGGATGGTAAGATTGTTAAATGTTTATTTTGAAATTTTTTTTCGAAATTTTGGGTTTATTTTTGGAGTTTCCATTGGTTTTGGTGATTCCTATGAGTTGGAAATATCCAAAAAATAAATTGGGCAATTTTGTTTAAATTTTTCCTCTTTAAAATTTTTTCTTCTATTCAAAGGATGCATACTCAACCAAACGAATTACCGCAATTATCACCACAAGATGTTACAATGCATTCAAAAATTATTCATCAAAATCAATGGGATGGTGAAAGAAGTGTTATTGTTACATGCAGTTTTACACCTGGATCAGTATCTTTAACTGCTTATCGTTTAACTCCGAGTGGTTATGAATGGGGACGTAACAATACTGATAAAGGGAATAATCCAAAAGGTTATTTGCCTTCACATTATGAGAAAGTACAAATGCTTCTGTCCGATCGTTTTCTTGGTTATTTTATGGTTCCGTCATCTGCTGTTTGGAATTATAATTTTATGGGTTTGTTTAATTTTTTTAGATTTTTTTGATGATATACTCTTAAAAATCATATTTTTTAACCTAAAAATCTCCAGGATTTTTTTTTCTAAAAAATATATTAAGGTGTTCGACACGATTCAAATATGCAATATGATGTTTGTTTAGCAGCCCCAAAAGAATTTTACCATGAAGATCATCGACCTTTACATTTTCACAATTTCAATGTTTTTGAAGACCCATTGGGAGTTACAACTGCTGACAGAGAAGATGTTTTTATGGCGACATAAAAAAATGATATTTTGCAAACAAAAATATTTGTAGTATTTTTTAAAATTTGTTTTCGTTTTCAGACAGTAAACACACTTTTTCGTTATAACTTAATATATTTATTTTTGAATAATTTCCGTTTAATGACGGTGAATATTTTTTAATAATTTTGCTAATTTAATTATTTCTATTTCAAATAATCTACAGGTTTTCTTTAGTGTTCTTTATCGACATGCGTCTTCATGTTCAGGTTTTGGAGTTGTCTCTTTGGGGTTTCTTTGGGTAGTTGTCCTTTGGGGTTTCTTTGGGTAGTTGTCCTTTGGGGGTTTTTTGGGTGAGATATCTCATCGGTCAGTGCCTGTGAGTTTCTTGTAGGTCAGTGCCAGTAAGTTATCTTGTCGGTCAGTGCCTGTGAGTTTCTCGTAGGTCAGTGCCAGTGAGTTATCTTGTCGGTCAGTGCCTGTGAGTTTCTCGTAGGTCAGTGCCAGTGAGTTATCTCGTCGGTCAGTGCCTGTGAGTTTCTTGTAGGTCAGTGCCAGTAAGTTATCTTGTCGGTCAGTGCCTGTGAGTTTCTCGTAGGTCAGTGCCAGTGAGTTATCTTGTCGGTCAGTGCCTGTGAGTTTCTCGTAGGTCAGTGCCAGTGAGTTATCTTGTCGGTCAGTGCCTGTGAGTTTCTTGTAGGTCAGCGCCAGTAAGTTATCTTGTCGGTCAGTGCCTGTGAGTTTCTTGTAGGTCAGTGCCAGTAAGTTATCTTGTCGGTCAGTGCCTGTGAGTTTCTCGTAGGTCAGTGCCGTGGAGTTTTTTCCTTCGGGGATTTCTTGTTAATTTTATCATTAGACCATCACCAACAATAACAACACACCAGCTGAGGGGCCTCCACTTGCTCGTTTTTAGATTTTATTTGTGATCAAATGTAATGGTTTTTGCTTGTAAATTGAAGAGAATTTTTTTAATTTTTAGAGATGTCAACAATTTTGAATTTGACTCTGGCCATCATCTATTACCTCCTCAACGCCTAAATTTTAGATTGGAATTGAAGGATGCAGTAGAAATAGGAAGAGCAGAAGAGAAATTGGAAAGGTTTTAATTTTATTTTTTTTTTGCGGTTCTAAACTTTTGGGATTTAATGTGTAATTTTTAAGTTGTTCCTTTTTAAAATCGACCTTTACATTTTCACAATTATAATGTTTTTAAGGACCCATTGGGAGTTGCAACTGCTGACAGAGAAGATGTTTTTATGGCGACATAAAAAATGATATTTTGCAAAAAAAAATATTTGTAGTATTTTTTAAAATTCGTTTTCAGACAGTAAACACACTTTTTCGTTAAACTTAAATAATTTTTAAAAGATTCATTCAAGTCTAGATTTCCTTTTTTGATTTTTGAAGATCTTAAAATTATTAGAAAATTATTTAAAAAAAAGTTTTTAGCAAAGGAAAATTAATTTTTTCTACTAAAAAATGCAACAGCAGCAACAACAACAACCGCCTCCTCCTATAAAAAAGAAAACGCAGGTTTTCTTTAAATAAAAAATTTGCTTAATAATTTTTTTATTTTTTAGATTTCTTTTCTAATAAGAAATTCTCCAATCGAGACAAAGCATCGAGGATTTATAAATTCTCTTCAATATGATTGTAGTTCAATGCATTTATTTTCTGCTGGTTCAGATTCAGTAATTCGACAATGGGATATTTTGGCAAAACAAGGTTTAAATGATCCATTTCTTCGTTGTTTAGAACATCATTGTGATTGGGTTAATGATATTGTTCTTTGTAGTGGTGGAAGTAGACGTTGGTTTTTTATTTTTAAATTTAGGCCTAGATTTTCATTTTCAGTAATTTCTGCGTCCTCGGACACAACAGTAAAAGTATGGGATGTTAGAAAAAAAGGAACGTGTCTTTCAACTCTTAAAACTCACAAGGATTGTGTTCGTTGTTTAGCCTATTCTCGTGAACCTTCAGAAACTGTTGCTAGTGCTGGTTTGGATAAATGTATATATTTATGGGATGTTAATACACTTACTAAAGTGACAGCAACGAATAATACAGTTACAAGTATATATTTTTAGATTTTAATTTTAGGTGTTTGCGGGGGTAGGTCTGTTGTGGAAGAAGAAACAAATTCATTTTTGTTTCTTTGACGATCCTAAAATTAATTTAAGGTTTAATTTGAAGCTTTTTTCGCGGGCTTAAGGTTTTTAGTGGTAAACCCGAACATTTTTTGACCCGTAAAATTTCTATCCTTTTATTTTACGCTTAAAAATAATTTTTAAAAATTGATAGCTTCTTCCTTACGTGGAACTAAAAACAGCATTTATTCACTTGCCATGAATGAATTAGGAACAGTCATTATTGCTGGTTCAACAGAAAATATTCTTCGAGTTTGGGACCCTAGAACATGTCAAAAAATTGTTAAATTACGTGGACATACAGAAAATATTAGAGCAATTGCTGTTAATAGAGAAGGAACTATGGTTTTGAATTTTTAAATTATTAAGAAAATTTTTGTGATTTTTAGTGTCTGTCAGGCAGCAGTGATGGAACCATTCGCCTTTGGAGTATTGGACAACAACGTTGTATTGGTGCGGTTAGATGTCATTCAGATAGCGTTTGGGCTCTTCAGGTTAATTAATAAAAGTTGTTGAAAAATATTCTAAAAATATTAGCTTTAGCTGAATTTCTTGTAATAGATATTAATTTTTCGTTGCTGAATTACGTGCGTCTTTGGTGTAGTGGTTTACGAGTGATGTTTAGTGATTATATACTATTTCAGTCTACGGTTCGATGCCTGATAGTAAATTATTTTTTTAGGATCGTTTTTCTATTTTGTAGTTGGGTTTTCTCAATTTTAATAATTTTTTAAAAAGTTTTTAATAGTTTTTTATGTTATCAAAAATTAAATTTTTTTCTAATTTTATAAAAACAATTTCAATTTTAGACGGATTCAAATTTCTCTACAATTTATTCGGGTGGTCGAGATCGTCGAGTTTTTCGAACACCAATTCGTAATTTGGGAACTTCTGACCTTCTTTTTATTGAACAAAAACCTATACAAAAATTAATTTTGGTTAATGATGGCGAACAACAACAACAAAAACATTTATGGGCGGCTACTTGGGATTCTTCTATTAATCGTTGGCCTATACCTCTTGATTTTCATGGATTTGATAATACAACACCGAAAGTTAGACAACCTGACATGACGATTGGAGGTTCTTTTTATTTTTTTTTTGGGTAATTAAATTAATCACAAAGGCAATTTTAAGCATTTTTTGGAGTGGGCGAGGGGAATGTTAGCTAGGGATGGCACGAGGTACTCGAACCCGATAACCGAAACCCCGAAACCTGGGTTTTACGAACCGAAACTCGATTCGATAGAATTTCTACCTAATTTTTCCATCTAGTTTTTTGTTCAAAAAAATTTTTTAGGCGCTCCAAGTATCAGAAAATATGCCGTTTTAAATGATCGTCGCCAAATTGTTAGTAAAGACAGCAATGGAAATTTGGAACTTTGGGATGCTTTACAAGCTAAAAAATTAAAAAATTTGCCGCAGGGCACGAGCATAGATGATGTTATTAGAGAAAATGTAAGAAAGTCTTGGATACCTAGTTGGTTTTCTGTTGAAACTAAATGTGGAGTAAGTTGTTTTTTGAAAATTTTAAAAAGATTTTTTCAAGGTTCTTGAGATCACATTAGATGAAAGTGATGTTTTTTCTGCTTGGGTATCTGCTAGAGATGCTGGTTTTGCTGATAAACCAAGTGATGCTAAAGGTTTTCTTGAAAAAATTTTTTTTTAATATTTAAAAAATTTTTATTTAAGTCAATTTTGGTGGTCTGTTGTTGAGAAGTCTTTTTGAAAGATGGCCATATTCTTATCAAGGCGATGATGGTGATTCTCCATTACAAGGATTTTATTCTCTTCCATTGCATACTCCGATTATTATTCGGTTAATTTTTTGTTTTTTTTTTTTTGCAAATTTTTCCTTGGAGAACAAAAAGAAAAGATACTTTCCGTTTAAGACATTTTATATTTAACGACTAAAATTGTAGACAGTTCTCCCAAATATTTTTTCTTCTGTATCATTTTTACTCCTAAACTTCCTTACTTTCTAGTGAACTTATTTTTTCTTTAGTCAAAGTACTGATGATCTTGTGAGACCTTTATTTCGAACAAGTGTTCGTGATGCTGCTTCACAATCTGATTCGGCAATGTTAAAAGATGTTTTGCCTGTTTGGGTTTTACAGGTTTGTTTCTTCTTTTTTAAGAAAATTTTTTTTTAATTTTAAAGGTCGTTGAATCCAACCACTTTCCAAAATTCAACAAAATTCCTTTTTATTTACAACCTCATGGCTCTTTTATTCCCAAATTTCAAATAAAAAAGTTTGTTGTCTTTTAAACTTATTATTAAATTTTTTTTGAATTTTCAGGGATCGTTTAAGCGCAACAGAAATGCTTCAATGCCGTAAAGTAATGGAACATGTTTGGGAAAAAATTTTATATCCGGCAGATAATTCATCAAATGAAAATGGAGGTGGTGGAACAACAACTTCAAGTTTACCTGCAATGCCTGAAAATATTGAAGAAAAAATTGAGCTTTTTTGTAATGATCAAAAATTGGATCCAGAAATGGATTTGAGGACTGTTAAACATTTGATATGGAAACAGGTTTTTTTTTTGAAATTTTTGGGGAATTAAAAATCGAAGTACTTGAAAAGTAGAGTGTTTAGAGGGGACTAGAGTCAAGGGATTGGGGGTTTTTTAGGGGGGCCAAGGTTCACATCAGGCAATTTTTTCAATTTCCTCAATTCCATAACCTGGACAAGCATACCTGGATTTACACCGAGTATTTTTTATATCCCCTTGATTTTTACTGAAATACAAGGCAAGGTTCTTGTCGTCAAGCTTTCCCATTGAACGGTCTGACGGTCCTTGTTGAAACAATTTTTAAAGAAATTTAAAGAGAATCTCTATCCATTTTCAAGTACTCGATTATGTTAATTAATTTACTTTTTCTTATTTTTTCAGGGTGGCGATCTTCTTATTTTATTTAAACCAGTCAGATAGCGATTGCTGATTTTTCTATATATTTTTATGTATATGTGATATATAATTTTATAATAAAATGATGCTTTCGTATAAATATGATGACATTTAGTCCCTAAAGTTGGAGGAAATCAATGAGAAATAGTGTAGGAGAGACGCGAAGAAATTAGTTAAAAATTGGAAAAAAACGCGTAGTTTGGCATAATGAAATATATTTAAAATAAATGACTTTTTATCCCCATAATTAGAGAAATTGAAATGAAGAAATAGTGTAGGTAGAGATAAAAAGTAAATACAAAAATTGTGGTCGGTTGAGCGCGAGTTTTTGAGAGCAGAGAGGTTAATTTCAAAAATCGATATCAATCAATAAAATCAATACTTATCGATAATTTATTTTTTAAAAATTTTAAATTTTCAAAAAATCGATACTAATCGATAAAATCAATACTAATCGATAATTTATTTTTTAAAAATTCTAAATTTAAAAAAAATCGATATCAATCGATAAAATCAATACTAATCGATAATTTATTTTTTAAAAATTTTAAATTTTCAAAAAATCGATACTAATCGATAAAATCAATACTAATCGATAATTTATTTTTAAAAATTCTAAATTTTCAAAAAATCGATACTAATCGATAAAATCAATACTAATCGATTATTTATTTTTTAAAAATTCTAAATTTTCAAAAAATCGATATCAATCGATAAAATCAATACTAATCGATAATTTATTTTTAAAAAATTCCAAATTTTCAAAAAATCGATATCAATCGATAAAATCAATACTAATCGATAATTTATTTTTAAAAAATTCCAAATTTTCAAAAAATCGATATCAATCGATAAAATCAATACTAATCGATAATTTATTTTTTAAATTTTATTTTTCAAAAAATCGATACTACGATATATCGATTTTTCAAACCTATAATATATATTTCAAAACCCATTAAAACTTTAACAGCTAAAAATATAAATAAATTCAATATATGTATTAATTAACAAGAGTATTCTTTATAACAAAAATTTTTATTCTTTTACATCAAGTCGACATATTGGATTGTTGTAAACCATTTGAAGATCAATTTTGTGTCCAAAAAGTTCACGAATATTTGAAATTCCATAGCGAATCATTGTTGGCCTATAAATTTTAAACTTAAATTTAAAAACATTAATTAAAAGAAATCAAACCTTTCAAGAGACAATCCAAAACCAGCAACACAAACATTATCAGGCAAACCCATTGGTAAAAGCATTTCAGGTCTAAACATTCCAGAATTTCCAATTTCCACCCATTTCTTTAATCCTTGATGATAAGCAAATATTTCCATTGAAGGTTCTGTATATGGATTGTATGTTGGTTTAAAACGAAGATTTTCTATTCCTTTAAAAAAGGAAAATTTAAATCTTGTTAAGGAATTCTAATTTTTAAATCTAATTTCCTGGACCAAATTCAGAAATTTCAAAAAATTCCTCAAGTCCCAGAAAAACTTAATAAGCTAAAAAATGTGAGCAACAAAAATCCAAAACCCTGTCCAGATCTCTAGCCTTGGCCCAATAAAGCAAAATTATTGTCCCCCTAAACAATCCCTACACCTAAACTATATTCCCATTTTTAAAACTTTTTCTATCAAAAGAAAAATTAAAAAAAACAAACCACATTTCCGAAAAAATTCAGTAAAAAGTCCAATAACATGTGCCAAAGAAAGATTTTTTTCTGCAACGACTCCCTCAACTTGATGAAATTCAGCTAAATGGGTAGCATCCAAAGTTTCATTTCTAAAAACTCTATCAATACTAAACATTTTTGTTGGCACAAAACCCTAAAGGGGGAAATTTTTTTCTAAAAATTTAAAAGAAAAAAACCTTTTTAGCAAGTGAATATAATTGTCTTGCAGAAACTGCTGTTGTGTGTGTTCGTAATAAATTTTTTTGAGCTTCTTTGATGTTCCAGTCATACTTGTATCTTAAAAAATAAATATTAAAAAAAATATAAAAAAAATTATCTTAACCAGGAATCGAACCCTCAACGCAAAGAACCTATATACAACCAACTACACCACAGAGGATCAATAAATGGATTGTTAATTACTAACTTTTATGTAAATTGTTTTAGCTTTTAAACTGCATATAACTACCAAAGTGGTTATAAAATTTAAAAAAATACCCTAGAGATCCATATCCACCCTCAGAATGCACTTTTTTAACACGCTCAACATAGTCTTTAGGAAATTCAGTAGAAATTGCTGGTTCTAAAAATTAAAAAAATATTTAAAGCAATAAGAGCTTGTTATTAACTATGCTACTATTCTAGAAATACGAGAGGTTATTCGAAACCCGATAGACTAGAGACGAAACACGGCTTTTTCTGAATCCATCCAATCCCTGGTACATATAATATGCCAAAAAAATGTTTTCAAAAAAACCTGTCAAAAAGAAAGTATCGTGAGAATCTCTAGCTGGGTGTTGTTGTGGTTGAAATAAAGCATCAAAATTCCAAAAGGAAGATTCCACAAATTTATTTGTTGGCATCTCAGAAAATCCCATTTGAAAGAAAATATCTCTAAATTCAGCTCTAACTTTGAGTAAAGGATGTAAATGACCAGAATGGGGAATTATTCCCATTGCTTCAAAATTGTATTTTTTGAAGTTTTTGTTCCTCCATGAACCTCTAAAAATAAAATTAATTTTAGATAAGCAAAAACTTATTTCATCCGGTTTTATACTAACATTTCCATAATTGATGGATAAGCGTACGACTTCTGCAGTTGCAAAGTTGCAATATTGCGCAGATGTAAAGTTTGCACATGCAAACTCTGACATTTGCAAAACTTCGTATAAATTTATGAAAAATTCTCATAATCGAGTAAGTTTTAGTTTAAAAATTCTTTTGAATTTAAAATTTGTTGATTATCAAAGTAATATATTCGATATTAACTTCTGAAATTTTTAATATAGAATAAATTTAATTATAAAATAATTAAAATTAAATAGTCTGGTTTATGTCCAATATTTTTCACAAAAAATAATAGCCCTCTTTTTAAAAGAAATGAATTGGTTTCCACAAATTTTTTAAACAAAAAATCAAATCCTTTTTCGCTTGATGGGAAAGAAATATAGAAATAACATTTATGAAAAAGAAAAAGGGTTGGATATAAACTAAACTTACCAATAAAGATTATCACATGCAAATTTAAATGGAATGTGGTGAAACTTAAAGAAATTTATGAAGCTGCTCACCCTCATATAAAAACACAAATAATAAGTATTTCATTTAATTTTATAAATGAAAAAAAGTTTTTTCAGGTAATCGATTCTCGGTTCCAAGATTCCATGACGTGACATGGGAATTAGTTATTGAAATTTACAAAAGTACCATTTATTTTGAAAAAAAAACTGTTAATATATGGCTTCGACAAGTAGGCCCTTGTACTATAAATGATGTTGCAAATACAAAATATAAAATTTATGTTATCAAAGATGACAACAGCCTTGTTCTTATTTCAAGGTTTTTAAAATTTTTCAAATATTTTTTTGACATTAAAGTACACCCTATCAGCACTATAGATAATATCCGCCAAGGTCTGCCCAGGTTGGATTTCAGACATAGTAATTGCGCCAAACATTTAGCGTTTTAAACAAAAAATTTTTTGCTTATACTTATATTTTTAGTGTCGCGTGCGAAAATTTTGACGAAAAAATTTATACTTTTTTGTCTCATCTCAGAGGATAAAAATTGCAGATTTTGTTGACATAATAAAAATTAATTATCTATAAATAGTTTTTAGATCAACAAATGAATTGGAAGATCAACAAAAAATGGGATGTGCTACAGTTTTGTTGGAAGACGTAATTTCTAAAGCAAAAGGGTCCCCTAGTGATGTAGTAATTCAAGGTTTTTTAAACGATAAATTTTAAATAAATTTATGCGATAAATTCAAACCCAAATTTGCTGATTTTTCACTTTATAAAAATCAAAATTTAAGACCTCATTTTTGTATCGACAGGGAGGTCAGAATTCTTGACTATTCTCACTTGTCCGAATTTTTTTAATAAGAATTGAGATTATCAATTTTTATTTTTAAACCTTCATAATTTTAATTTTAGGATTACAACTTTATTGCGAAATTAAACTTTTTTATGTGAATTCATTCCAACTTCTACAAGATAGATATACAAGAATGTTAAAAGATAAAACATTTACTGATTGTATTTTTAAGGTTTGTTTAATACTATTCTCACTGAATTTTTTTCTTTCTACTAAATATAACAAATGACTAATATATTTTTTTGATGGCTTTAGATTTAAAATTTGACTATTTGTAATATTTAGTAGAAAAGAAGAAAAAAGGAAAGGAAAATGCAAAAAGATAAATCTGATACAAACATTTATTTTTTATTAAAATTAATTTTTTTATTAAAGGTTGGTGATGTAATTATGAAAGCGCATCGGTGTGTTTTGGTTCAAGGCAGTGTAGTATTTAAAATAATGTTTGGAGGTGTAGGCATGATTGAAGCGAGAACTGTAAAGATTTTTTTAAATTTTGTTTTATAGGCTTCTTGCTGTAAGAGAAAATCTTAAAAATTTTCTAAAAAGGATTTCTATGATAAATTCTTGTATTTCTCTAATTAAAACATCTAGAAAGATTTAAAAAGATATGTCAATCAGAGCTGGGTTTTCTTCCGCTTTTTATGCCTCTTCTGCCAAAAATATACACCCGAATTCCGGTAAAACCCGTGGTTTTCCAGGATCAGCCAATTCTAGAATTGGTCACCTTCAGATTTCGACAAAAAATTTTTCTTCCGCTTTCGTCTTCCGCTTTTTAAAATTCAAAATTATCCAGCCCTGATGTGTATAGTATTTTCAATTTTTTTGTAAAAAATAAATTTAGGGTGAAGTCACAATCTCAGATACTACTCCAGAATGTTTTCGAGCATTGTTAGAATATATTTATACTGGAAAAATTGGAAAAGGTTTATTTTTAAAAATTCATTTTTTAATTTTAATACTTTTATTTTAAGATGTATTGAAAAATAATGTTGAAGGTATTTTTGCTATTGCACACAAATATCAGGTGGAAATGTTACAATATGAATGTGAACGTTATTTGACAACTTTGCTAAGTTTGTTTTAATTTTTTAAATTTTTTTTTGAAAAGGGCTGGGGTTCAGGACTCATAAATTTTTAAAAATTTCGAATAAAATTACCTATATTTTTTTTATTTTAGATGCCGAAACATTTTTGAATTGTTGTAGCATTATTTCTTTATATGGTGCTACTACTTTGGAGATTGTAAAAAATATTTCTTTATATATTTTAAAAATTCTACTTATTTTAGGCATGTAAAGAATATTGTTTAAAGAACAATGAAATTTTTTTTGCTTCTAAAGAATGGAAAGATGTTAAAGAAACTTATCCAGAATTGGCTACTAAATTTATGGATTTTTATCTTTGTGATGGAATTTATGGAGATTATTATGAAGTATCTTGTTCACCAAGTTACTGAATTATTATAAAAAAATGATTGATGAAGGAAAAAACAAAAATAAAAACCTCTCATGAATTTAATTAAAAAAGTTTTTCCTTTTATTTTTTAATCACTTAATTTTAATTAATTATCACTTAATTTTAATTTAATTATTCTAATATTTGTTAATTTAAATAAAAAGATTAAATTTTTATTTTTTAGAAAAATTTTTTATTCATAACACTTGTAGGCCCTAAAAGCTAAAATAACCTTTTTTAATTATTTGGTGCAGATAGGATTCGAACCATCCACAAATTATTCCAATCTTACTCTTGAACCTAACACAACTCCACTTATCCACACTTTACCGTTCAAATGTCCACTGAAGCGGTCATTGGCATAGAGTCATTGGCCTTTTATTGTTTTTACCCTTTTTGACTTATTGTCTAAGGCAAAATGTCGATGTGACATTTTGTCCATTTTTACCCTTGGTGGCAGATTGAAATATTTATGACGAGAGAGTGCAATAATAATAGAGAGTTTAGACAAAATATTTCGAATTTTATTCCGAAAAATTTGCTTTATTTATCGGAACGCGACCATTGAGTCCCGCCGTTTGAGTCCCGCCGATTGAGTCCCGCCGGTTGAGTCCCGCCAGTTGAGTCCCTGGCCGGTTGAGTCCCGGCCGATTGAGTCCCGCCGGTTGAGTCCCCACCCAAAAGGGGACGTTTGAGTCCCCGTATTTCTTTCTAGGATTTACACAAGTATGTATGATTCTCAGTACTGGTCTATTGCGAATATGTTACCATTTTTAGGTACATTATACAGGAATATGAGGGATTATAGATTATATCCCCCAACTAGGACTTGTTAAATAAAAGCACCAAGTTTACGTATGATTCCCAGGATGGTAGTATTACAGGTATGTTACCAATTTGGGGGTAGTACCCGGTATTTTGGTCGGTACCTATAATCCATCATTATATTCCTATATAATGTACCTCAAAGTGGTACCATACCCGCAATAATTCCGTCTTGAAAATCCGTCTATATATCCACTTTAATCACTCCAAATCGCTTGAAATCCCTCCATATTTATCATTATCACTCAAAATCTCACCAAATACTCTTATATCAATTCAAAACTCCATATATCCCATTTAATCCCTCAAGATCCTAGAAAGAAATACGGGGACTCAAACGTCCCCTTTTGGGTGGGGACTCAACCGGCGGGACTCAATCGGCCGGGACTCAACCGGCCAGGGACTCAACTGGCGGGACTCAACCGGCGGGACTCAATCGGCGGGACTCAAACGGCGGGACTCAATGGTCCCCTACCGTTATTTATTAAGTTTTTTTCATTTTTCTTTTCTAAGCTTCATTGTTTTTAGAAGATATTTTTCAATTTTAATAAATAAATGTCTGCACCAGTTCCTGTTTCTTTTATGGGAAGGCCAGGTGTTTCTTCAGCGCCCTCATACGATGCAAAATCACAAATTTTGTCACAACAAGAAGAGAGGGCATTGACAGACAAATCAAAGAAATGGAAACAATTACAATCAAAACGTTTTGCAGAAAAGCGCAAATTTGGATTTGTTGATTCACAGAAAGAGGAAATGCCTCCAGGTTTGTTTACTTTATTATTTTTGTTGTCTCCGGAATTTGGGCTATTCTTTTAAGGCTATAATATTGTTAGAAGAAAGAAATCCATCTTTGAGAAGAAATAGATTCAGCTATTTCCTTAAGGTGAAAAAGATCCATGAACTGATTTGCTGGATCCTGATTTGTTATCAGGCATGGGTTTGATCTTAAAATCAGTCGGTAACTTAGTTGGTAGAGCAAAAGCGTCCTAACAATAATTGCTTGGAGATTTTAGGATCGATGCCTGTCGGAGCTTAACCTTTACCTCTCTTACTCCCTGAGCTTTTCTTAAAGCATTTTTTAATATCTTTTTTAGAACACGTTCGCAAAATTGTTCGAGATCACGGCGACATGACTTCCCGCAAATACCGTCATGACAAGCGTGTTTACCTTGGAGCGTTGAAATACATGCCTCATGCTGTTATAAAACTCATCGAAAATATGCCAATGCCATGGGAACAAATACGTGACATTAAGGTTTTGTATCATATTACTGGTGCAATAACTTTTGTCAATGAAATTCCTCGTGTTATTGAACCTGTGTTTATTGCGCAATGGGGAACTATGTGGATAATGATGCGAAGAGAAAAACGTGATCGAAGACATTTTAAGGTTTCTTTAGTTTTTAATGTCGTAAATTTCCTAATTTTTAAGCGAATGCGTTTCCCTCCATTTGATGATGAAGAACCACCTCTTGATTATGCGGACAACATTTTGGATGTTGAACCTCTTGAACCTATTCAAATGGAATTGACTGAGGAAGAGGAAGGACTTGTTAAAGATTGGCTTTATGATCATAAACCTTTGGCTAAAACAAGGTGAATTTTTTGGACTTTGATTTAATTTTGTATGTTGTAAGCGGGGGCCGACATACTGATAACGGGTGTTACAGGGAATTCGTATTCAGGACGGGCCTCCACAAACTTTCTACCGGAAGGGAATTCCCTCTCACATTGACGTTTAACCATGCTTAAATTTATAAAAAATTCTTTTAAAGATTCGTCAATGGAGAATCTTATCGAAAATGGACTTTTACAATTCCAATGATGTCTACACTTTATCGTCTTGCAAATCAACTTTTGACTGATCTTTTGGATGAAAATTATTTTTATTTGTTTGACTTAAAATCGTTTTTCACTGCAAAGGCTTTAAACGTTGCAATTCCTGGAGGACCTAAATTTGAGCCTTTAATAAGAGATATGACTTTTAAGTATGTTTTTTACATTATTATGATCTGACCATTTTGCTTCTTTTCTAGCGATGAAGACTGGAACGAATTCAACGACATCAACAAAGTTATTATTCGCTCTCCAATTCGGACAGAATATAGAATTGCGTTTCCCTTCATGTACAACAATTTGATTAGTGCATTGCCTGTAACTGTTTGTTGGTATCACACTCCGTCAGTAGTTTATATCAAAACTGAAGATTATGACCTTCCAGCTTTCTATTTTGATCCGCTTATCAATCCGATTGCACAGAGACATACTGAACGGGTAAACATTTTTCAAGTGTTTTTTCTTAAAAACAAAGCGATTCCATTAATTAACAAGAAATTTTAAACGATATAAATTTTTTGTTCTTTGGAATCGCAAAAATAATAAGAAAATTTAGGCGGGCCATTAATCCTAATTTATATCTTGATTTTTGGTCAGATTTTATTTATTTTCTACATTTAACTCTGAAATTTATAACAGGAACAGGTTGAGAAAGAGTCGGGTCAAAAAGTCCTTGTATCGGGTTTCGAATAATCCGTGACATCCCTATTGTATAGTAGTATTCCTTTATTATGTCGAAACTTTCCTTGTCTTTAATAAATTTTCTAAAAAATTTTTTAGATGCCAGAACCTTTACCAGAAGACGACGAAGAAGAATTTCAATTACCTTATTCAATGGCAGCAATGTTTAGCGAATTTCCTCTTTACACCGAAAATACAGCAAATGGAATGGCATTAATTTGGGCACCGAGACCATTCAATACACGCTCTGGTGGTACTCGACGAATAATTGATGTACCTTTAGTTAAAACTTGGTATAAAGAGCATTGTCCAGCTGGAATGCCTGTCAAAGTTCGAGTTTCTTACCAAAAGTTGTTGAAAGTTTTTGTGCTAAATGCATTGAAACATCGTCCTCCAAAGCCACAGAAAAAACGGTTTTTAATTTTAGAAAATTTTTTAAAGTAATTTTTATTTTTAGTTATCTCTTCCGTTCTTTCAAAGCTACAAAATTTTTCCAATCAACTACACTTGACTGGGTTGAAGTTGGATTACAAGTTCTTCGTCAAGGCTATAATATGTTAAACCTTTTGATTCATCGAAAAAATTTGAATTATCTTCACTTGGATTATAACTTCAATTTAAAGGTTATTTTAATTAATTTTTGGGATCAAATGTCTCTTTTAAAAAGTCTGTCGCTTTTTTTTCTATTTTTTTATTTTTTTAGCCTGTAAAAACGTTGACAACTAAAGAACGTAAAAAGTCTCGTTTCGGAAATGCTTTTCACTTGTGTCGTGAAGTTTTACGTTTGGCAAAACTTGTTGTAGATGCACACGTACAATACAGATTAAATAATGTGGATGCTTATCAACTTTCTGATGGACTTCAATATATTTTTGCTCATGTTGGTCAACTTACTGGAATGTATCGTTACAAATATAAATTGATGAGACAAGTTCGTATGTGCAAAGATTTGAAACATTTGATTTATTATCGATTCAATACTGGGCCTGTTGGTTAGTTTACTTTTTTTAACTTTAAAAATAAAATTACTAAAATTTAGGCAAAGGACCAGGTTGTGGATTTTGGGCTCCAGGCTGGAGAGTATGGCTTTTTTTCTTGAGAGGAATCACTCCACTTTTAGAACGTTGGTTAGGCAACTTACTTTCACGTCAATTTGAAGGAAGACATTCTAAGGGTGTTGCAAAGACTGTTACAAAACAACGTGTTGAATCACATTTTGATCTTGAATTGAGGTTCTTTTTTATAATTCCTAGGGAAAAAATATTTTTAATTTTTTAGAGCTGCTGTTATGCACGATATTTTGGACATGATGCCGGAAGGAATTAAACAAAATAAAGCTAGAGTAATATTGCAACATTTGAGTGAAGCTTGGCGTTGTTGGAAAGCAAATATTCCTTGGAAAGTCCCAGGCCTGCCTACTCCTGTTGAAAACATGATTTTACGTTATGTTAAAGCAAAAGCAGATTGGTGGACAAATTCAGCACACTACAATCGTGAGAGAGTTCGTCGTGGAGCTACTGTTGATAAAACTGTTTGCAAAAAGAATTTGGGACGATTAACACGTCTTTATTTGAAGGTTAGCATTTTTTATCATTTATAATTTGTATTTCTAATTTTAAAGTCTGAACAAGAACGTCAACACAATTATTTGAAAGACGGCCCATATGTTAGTGCTGAAGAAGCAGTTGCAATTTATACAACAACAGTTCATTGGCTTGAATCTCGTCGTTTTTCACCAATTCCATTTCCACCTTTATCATACAAACACGACACAAAACTTCTTATTTTGGCATTAGAACGTTTAAAAGAAGCATATTCAGTCAAAAATCGGTTAAATCAAAGTCAAAGAGAAGAATTGGCATTAATTGAACAAGCTTATGATAATCCTCACGAAGCTCTCTCAAGAATTAAACGTCATATGCTAACGATGCGTTCATTTAAAGAAGTTGGTATTGAATTTATGGATCTCTACAGTCATTTAATTCCTGTCTACGATATTGAACCGCTTGAAAAAGTTACTGATGCTTATTTGGATCAATATGTTTGGTATGAAGCTGATAAACGACGACTGTTTCCATCATGGGTTAAACCTGCAGATACTGAACCTGCTCCATTATTAGTTTACAAATGGTGTCAAGGAATTAATAATCTTCAAGATGTTTGGGATACTGATGAAGGAGAATGTAATGTTTTATTAGAAGCTAGACTTGAGAAAATGTATGAAAAAATGGACTTGACATTATTGAACAGATTGCTCCGTTTAATTGTTGATCACAACATTGCTGATTATATGACAGCTAAAAACAACGTTACAGTGAATTATAAGGACATGAACCATACAAACTCTTTTGGTAATTTTTATTGGAGGTGTCTTTTTTGTATTAAGTCAATTTTTAGGAATCATTCGTGGTCTACAATTTGCGTCATTTATCGTTCAATATTATGGACTTGTTTTGGATTTGCTTATTCTTGGACTTCGTCGAGCCAGTGAAATCGCTGGACCGCCACAAGTATTTTTTCTTTTTACAGAATTTAAAATTTTTTTAAAATTTTCCTAGTGTCCAAATGAATTTTTGTCATTCGAAGATGTCATTGTTCAGTCATGTCATCCAATTCGTCTTTATTGCCGTTATATTGACAAAGCCTGGATCTTTTTCCGATTTAATGCTGACGAAACAAAAGATTTAATTCAACGTTACCTTTCTGAACATCCAGATCCAAACAATGAAAATATTGTTGGATATAACAACAAAAAGTGCTGGCCTAGAGATGCTCGTATGCGTTTAATGAAACATGACGTTAACCTTGGTCGTGCTGTCTTTTGGGATATCAAGGTTCTTTGTGATCATTTTATGATTATTTTTTTGTATTAAATATTTTTAGAATCGACTTCCTCGTTCTCTTACAACTATTGAATGGGAAAATTCATTTGTTTCTGTTTACAGCAAGGATAATCCAAACTTGTTATTCGATATGTCTGGTTTTGAAGCTAGAATTCTTCCAAAATGTCGAACAGCTTCTGATGATGTGACCGCGAATAGAGATGGAATTTGGAACTTGCAAAATGAGGTTTTTTAAATTAAATATTTTTTATTTATCTATTTTTAAAGATTACTAAAGAACGAACTGCCCAAGCCTTCTTAAAAGTTGATTCAGAATCGATGGAAAAGTTTCATAATCGTGTTAGACAAATTCTTATGTCTTCTGGTTCAACTACGTTTACAAAAATTGTTAACAAATGGAACACTGCCCTTATTGGTTTGATGACTTATTACCGCGAAGCTGTTGTCAACACACAAGAATTGTTGGATCTTTTGGTAAAATGTGAAAACAAAATTCAGACTCGGTTAGTTTTCTATTTTTTGTAAAAAATATTTTATTTTACTTTTAGAATTAAAATTGGTCTAAACTCTAAAATGCCTGCTCGTTTTCCCCCTGTCGTTTTTTACACTCCTAAGGAAATTGGTGGCCTTGGAATGCTTTCAATGGGTCACGTGTTAATTCCTCAATCAGATTTGCGTTGGATGCGTCAAACTGATGCTGGAGGTGTTACACATTTTAGAAGTGGAATGACTCATGATGAAGATCAAATTATTCCAAACTTGTATCGCTACATCCAGGTCTTATTTTAATTTAATTTTTAAAGGAAAAATATTTTTTAAGCCTTGGGAAGCAGAATTTGTCGACTCACAACGTGTTTGGGCAGAATACGCATTGAAACGACAAGAAGCTAATGCACAGAATCGCCGTCTTACTTTGGAAGATTTGGATGATAGTTGGGACAGAGGAATTCCTCGAATCAATACACTCTTCCAAAAAGATCGAAATACACTTGCTTATGATAAAGGATGGAGAGTTCGAACAGAATTTAAGGCCTATCAAATTTTGAAACAAAATCCTTTCTGGTGGACACATCAAAGACATGATGGAAAACTTTGGAACCTGAACAACTACAGAACTGATATGATACAAGCGTTGGGAGGTGTTGAAGGAATTCTTGAACATACACTATTTCGAGTTGGATTTTTTGAATTATTATCTAAAAATTCAATTTTTATTAGGGAACTTATTTCCCTACATGGGAAGGACTTTTCTGGGAACGTGCATCAGGTTTCGAAGAATCAATGAAATTCAAAAAATTAACAAATGCCCAACGCTCTGGATTAAATCAAATTCCAAATCGTCGTTTTACTCTTTGGTGGTCTCCTACAATTAATCGAGCAAACGTTTATTTTTTAATTTTATTTTTTTCTAATTTTTTTAAATTAGGTTTATGTTGGTTTCCAAGTGCAGCTGGACTTGACAGGAATTTTTATGCATGGAAAATTGCCAACGCTTAAAATTTCTCTTATTCAGGTAAAAATTTTTTAGACATTTTGTCTTCCTACTAATTATTTTTTATACAGATCTTTCGTGCTCACTTGTGGCAAAAAATTCACGAGTCTGTTGTTATGGATTTATGTCAAGTTTTTGATCTTGAACTTGATCCTTTGGAAATTCAAACAGTTCAAAAAGAAACTATTCACCCTCGTAAATCGTACAAGATGAATAGTTCTTGTGCTGATATTTTACTTTTTGCACAATATAAATGGCATATTTCTCGTCCATCCCTTTTGGCTGATACTAAAGATGTAATGGATAATACAACAACACAAAAGTTTTGGCTTGATGTTCAGCTTCGTTGGGGTGATTATGATTCTCACGATATTGAACGTTATTCTCGTGCTAAATTCCTTGACTATACAACTGACAATATGTCTATATATCCGTCGGTAAAAATTTATCTTTTGCTACGCTCACATATACTATAGTTCGCACGTGCGTCTTTTGCTAATATCTAAGTGAACGTTTTTTTGAAGTGAACGTTTTAATCATTAATTCTATTTTTTTTTAAAGCCAAATGGAATTCTAATTGCAATTGATTTGGCATACAACTTGTACAGCGCTTATGGAAATTGGTTCCCTGGAATGAAAGAATTAATTCGTCAAGCTATGGCGAAAATAATTAAAGCAAATCCAGCACTTTATGTACTTCGTGAACGTATACGTAAAGGTCTTCAATTATACTCTTCTGAACCTACAGAGCCATATCTTACATCACAAAATTATGGAGAACTTTTTAGCAATCAAATGTTTGTTTGCTTATTTATTTTTAAATTTTTTTTCTAATTTTTTAGTATTTGGTTTGTTGACGATACAAATGTATATCGTGTAACTATTCACAAGGTTTATAATTACATAAATTTGTCTTCCTTATTTTTTTAGACCTTCGAAGGAAATTTGACCACCAAACCGATGAATGGAGCCATTTTCATCTTTAATCCTCGTACAGGACAGCTTTTCTTAAAAATTATTCATACAAGTGTTTGGGCTGGTCAGAAACGTTTGAGCCAGGTTTTTTGGTTTTTTGCTTTTTTATCATTGTTTTAAAGTTGGCAAAATGGAAAACTGCTGAAGAAGTTGCTGCATTAATTCGTTCATTACCAGTTGAAGAACAACCTAGACAAATTATTGTAACACGTAAAGCTATGCTTGATCCTTTGGAAGTTCACTTGCTCGATTTTCCAAATATTGTTATTAAAGGATCAGAATTAATGTTACCATTCCAAGCTATTATGAGAGTAAGAGAAATTTTTTAAAATAACATTCTAAAAATTCTTTTAAGATTGAAAAGTTTGGTGATCTGATTTTAAAAGCAAACGAACCTCAAATGGTCTTATTTAATCTTTATGATGATTGGCTTAAGGTTTATTATTTTTTTAATTTTTATTTTAACTAGAGATTCCCAGGATTCTGGGGCACGATCGAGTCCCATACGGAATCATTCCCATGCCGATTTCTAATTTTAACATTAATCTTTTTCCAGACAATTTCAAGTTACACAGCATTTTCTCGAGTAATATTAATAATGCGTGGAATGCATATAAATCCAGACAAAACAAAAGTTATTTTAAAACCTGATAGAACAACAGTAACAGAATCACATCATATTTGGCCAACATTATCTGACGATGAATGGATTAAAGTTGAATTAGCATTAAAAGATATGATATTAAATGATTATGGAAAGAAAAATAATGTTAATGTTGGTTCATTAACACAATCAGAAGTTCGAGATATTATTCTTGGAATGGAAATTAGTGCACCATCACAACAAAGACAACAAATTGCTGAAATTGAAAAACAAACAAAAGAACAAAGTCAATTAACTGCTACAACAACAAAATCTGTTAATAAACATGGTGATGAAATTATTTCAGCAACTACAAGTAATTATGAAACACAGACATTTTCTTCAAGAACTGAATGGCGTGTTAGAGCTATCAGGTTTGTTTGTTCGTTGTTGTTTTTTTTTGAGAGGGGAGGGGAAGTAGGGTGGTAATTTTAGGTCTCATTTGTATCCATTTCCAGGGAAGCTGCCGACATAAAAAATAAATTTTTGAATCCTCGGGGTTAGGAAATTGTGTACCTATAAGGAAGATTTCTGAATAAGCAAAACATCTTTTAATTATTTTTTGTATTTTCATCATATTTCTTTTTAAAGCTCTACAAATTTACATTTACGAACTCAACATATTTATGTCAACTCTGATGATGTTAAAGATACTGGCTATACATATATTTTACCCAAAAATATTCTTAAAAAGTTTATAACAATTTCTGATTTACGAACACAAATTGCTGGTTATATTTATGGAATTTCTCCTCCAGATAATCCTCATGTTAAAGAAATTCGTTGTATTATATTACCACCACAATGGGGAACACATCAAGTTGTACATTTACCAAATCAACTTCCACAACATGAATTTTTGAAAGATTTGGAACCTCTTGGATGGTAAGATTGTTAAATGTTTATTTTGAAATTTTTTTTCGAAATTTTGGGTTTATTTTTGGAGTTTCCATTGGTTTTGGTGATTCCTATGAGTTGGAAATATCCAAAAAATAAATTGGGCAATTTTGTTTAAATTTTTCCTCTTTAAAATTTTTTCTTCTATTCAAAGGATGCATACTCAACCAAACGAATTACCGCAATTATCACCACAAGATGTTACAATGCATTCAAAAATTATTCATCAAAATCAATGGGATGGTGAAAGAAGTGTTATTGTTACATGCAGTTTTACACCTGGATCAGTATCTTTAACTGCTTATCGTTTAACTCCGAGTGGTTATGAATGGGGACGTAACAATACTGATAAAGGGAATAATCCAAAAGGTTATTTGCCTTCACATTATGAGAAAGTACAAATGCTTCTGTCCGATCGTTTTCTTGGTTATTTTATGGTTCCGTCATCTGCTGTTTGGAATTATAATTTTATGGGTTTGTTTAATTTTTTTAGATTTTTTTGATGATATACTCTTAAAAATCATATTTTTTAACCTAAAAATCTCCAGGATTTTTTTTTCTAAAAAATATATTAAGGTGTTCGACACGATTCAAATATGCAATATGATGTTTGTTTAGCAGCCCCAAAAGAATTTTACCATGAAGATCATCGACCTTTACATTTTCACAATTTCAATGTTTTTGAAGACCCATTGGGAGTTACAACTGCTGACAGAGAAGATGTTTTTATGGCGACATAAAAAAATGATATTTTGCAAACAAAAATATTTGTAGTATTTTTTAAAATTTGTTTTCGTTTTCAGACAGTAAACACACTTTTTCGTTATAACTTAATATATTTATTTTTGAATAATTTCCGTTTAATGACGGTGAATATTTTTTAATAATTTTGCTAATTTAATTATTTCTATTTCAAATAATCTACAGGTTTTCTTTAGTGTTCTTTATCGACATGCGTCTTCATGTTCAGGTTTTGGAGTTGTCTCTTTGGGGTTTCTTTGGGTAGTTGTCCTTTGGGGTTTCTTTGGGTAGTTGTCCTTTGGGGGTTTTTTGGGTGAGATATCTCATCGGTCAGTGCCTGTGAGTTTCTTGTAGGTCAGTGCCAGTAAGTTATCTTGTCGGTCAGTGCCTGTGAGTTTCTCGTAGGTCAGTGCCAGTGAGTTATCTTGTCGGTCAGTGCCTGTGAGTTTCTCGTAGGTCAGTGCCAGTGAGTTATCTCGTCGGTCAGTGCCTGTGAGTTTCTTGTAGGTCAGTGCCAGTAAGTTATCTTGTCGGTCAGTGCCTGTGAGTTTCTCGTAGGTCAGTGCCAGTGAGTTATCTTGTCGGTCAGTGCCTGTGAGTTTCTCGTAGGTCAGTGCCAGTGAGTTATCTTGTCGGTCAGTGCCTGTGAGTTTCTTGTAGGTCAGCGCCAGTAAGTTATCTTGTCGGTCAGTGCCTGTGAGTTTCTTGTAGGTCAGTGCCAGTAAGTTATCTTGTCGGTCAGTGCCTGTGAGTTTCTCGTAGGTCAGTGCCGTGGAGTTTTTTCCTTCGGGGATTTCTTGTTAATTTTATCATTAGACCATCACCAACAATAACAACACACCAGCTGAGGGGCCTCCACTTGCTCGTTTTTAGATTTTATTTGTGATCAAATGTAATGGTTTTTGCTTGTAAATTGAAGAGAATTTTTTTAATTTTTAGAGATGTCAACAATTTTGAATTTGACTCTGGCCATCATCTATTACCTCCTCAACGCCTAAATTTTAGATTGGAATTGAAGGATGCAGTAGAAATAGGAAGAGCAGAAGAGAAATTGGAAAGGTTTTAATTTTATTTTTTTTTTGCGGTTCTAAACTTTTGGGATTTAATGTGTAATTTTTAAGTTGTTCCTTTTTAAAATCGACCTTTACATTTTCACAATTATAATGTTTTTAAGGACCCATTGGGAGTTGCAACTGCTGACAGAGAAGATGTTTTTATGGCGACATAAAAAATGATATTTTGCAAAAAAAAATATTTGTAGTATTTTTTAAAATTCGTTTTCAGACAGTAAACACACTTTTTCGTTAAACTTAAATAATTTTTAAAAGATTCATTCAAGTCTAGATTTCCTTTTTTGATTTTTGAAGATCTTAAGATTATTAGAAAATTATTTAAAAAAAAGTTTTTAGCAAAGGAAAATTAATTTTTTCTACTAAAAAATGCAACAGCAGCAACAACAACAACCGCCTCCTCCTATAAAAAAGAAAACGCAGGTTTTCTTTAAATAAAAAATTTGCTTAATAATTTTTTTATTTTTTAGATTTCTTTTCTAATAAGAAATTCTCCAATCGAGACAAAGCATCGAGGATTTATAAATTCTCTTCAATATGATTGTAGTTCAATGCATTTATTTTCTGCTGGTTCAGATTCAGTAATTCGACAATGGGATATTTTGGCAAAACAAGGTTTAAATGATCCATTTCTTCGTTGTTTAGAACATCATTGTGATTGGGTTAATGATATTGTTCTTTGTAGTGGTGGAAGTAGACGTTGGTTTTTTATTTTTAAATTTAGGCCTAGATTTTCATTTTCAGTAATTTCTGCGTCCTCGGACACAACAGTAAAAGTATGGGATGTTAGAAAAAAAGGAACGTGTCTTTCAACTCTTAAAACTCACAAGGATTGTGTTCGTTGTTTAGCCTATTCTCGTGAACCTTCAGAAACTGTTGCTAGTGCTGGTTTGGATAAATGTATATATTTATGGGATGTTAATACACTTACTAAAGTGACAGCAACGAATAATACAGTTACAAGTATATATTTTTAGATTTTAATTTTAGGTGTTTGCGGGGGTAGGTCTGTTGTGGAAGAAGAAACAAATTCATTTTTGTTTCTTTGACGATCCTAAAATTAATTTAAGGTTTAATTTGAAGCTTTTTTCGCGGGCTTAAGGTTTTTAGTGGTAAACCCGAACATTTTTTGACCCGTAAAATTTCTATCCTTTTATTTTACGCTTAAAAATAATTTTTAAAAATTGATAGCTTCTTCCTTACGTGGAACTAAAAACAGCATTTATTCACTTGCCATGAATGAATTAGGAACAGTCATTATTGCTGGTTCAACAGAAAATATTCTTCGAGTTTGGGACCCTAGAACATGTCAAAAAATTGTTAAATTACGTGGACATACAGAAAATATTAGAGCAATTGCTGTTAATAGAGAAGGAACTATGGTTTTGAATTTTTAAATTATTAAGAAAATTTTTGTGATTTTTAGTGTCTGTCAGGCAGCAGTGATGGAACCATTCGCCTTTGGAGTATTGGACAACAACGTTGTATTGGTGCGGTTAGATGTCATTCAGATAGCGTTTGGGCTCTTCAGGTTAATTAATAAAAGTTGTTGAAAAATATTCTAAAAATATTAGCTTTAGCTGAATTTCTTGTAATAGATATTAATTTTTCGTTGCTGAATTACGTGCGTCTTTGGTGTAGTGGTTTACGAGTGATGTTTAGTGATTATATACTATTTCAGTCTACGGTTCGATGCCTGATAGTAAATTATTTTTTTAGGATCGTTTTTCTATTTTGTAGTTGGGTTTTCTCAATTTTAATAATTTTTTAAAAAGTTTTTAATAGTTTTTTATGTTATCAAAAATTAAATTTTTTTCTAATTTTATAAAAACAATTTCAATTTTAGACGGATTCAAATTTCTCTACAATTTATTCGGGTGGTCGAGATCGTCGAGTTTTTCGAACACCAATTCGTAATTTGGGAACTTCTGACCTTCTTTTTATTGAACAAAAACCTATACAAAAATTAATTTTGGTTAATGATGGCGAACAACAACAACAAAAACATTTATGGGCGGCTACTTGGGATTCTTCTATTAATCGTTGGCCTATACCTCTTGATTTTCATGGATTTGATAATACAACACCGAAAGTTAGACAACCTGACATGACGATTGGAGGTTCTTTTTATTTTTTTTTTGGGTAATTAAATTAATCACAAAGGCAATTTTAAGCATTTTTTGGAGTGGGCGAGGGGAATGTTAGCTAGGGATGGCACGAGGTACTCGAACCCGATAACCGAAACCCCGAAACCTGGGTTTTACGAACCGAAACTCGATTCGATAGAATTTCTACCTAATTTTTCCATCTAGTTTTTTGTTCAAAAAAATTTTTTAGGCGCTCCAAGTATCAGAAAATATGCCGTTTTAAATGATCGTCGCCAAATTGTTAGTAAAGACAGCAATGGAAATTTGGAACTTTGGGATGCTTTACAAGCTAAAAAATTAAAAAATTTGCCGCAGGGCACGAGCATAGATGATGTTATTAGAGAAAATGTAAGAAAGTCTTGGATACCTAGTTGGTTTTCTGTTGAAACTAAATGTGGAGTAAGTTGTTTTTTGAAAATTTTAAAAAGATTTTTTCAAGGTTCTTGAGATCACATTAGATGAAAGTGATGTTTTTTCTGCTTGGGTATCTGCTAGAGATGCTGGTTTTGCTGATAAACCAAGTGATGCTAAAGGTTTTCTTGAAAAAATTTTTTTTTAATATTTAAAAAATTTTTATTTAAGTCAATTTTGGTGGTCTGTTGTTGAGAAGTCTTTTTGAAAGATGGCCATATTCTTATCAAGGCGATGATGGTGATTCTCCATTACAAGGATTTTATTCTCTTCCATTGCATACTCCGATTATTATTCGGTTAATTTTTTGTTTTTTTTTTTTTGCAAATTTTTCCTTGGAGAACAAAAAGAAAAGATACTTTCCGTTTAAGACATTTTATATTTAACGACTAAAATTGTAGACAGTTCTCCCAAATATTTTTTCTTCTGTATCATTTTTACTCCTAAACTTCCTTACTTTCTAGTGAACTTATTTTTTCTTTAGTCAAAGTACTGATGATCTTGTGAGACCTTTATTTCGAACAAGTGTTCGTGATGCTGCTTCACAATCTGATTCGGCAATGTTAAAAGATGTTTTGCCTGTTTGAGTTTTACAGGTTTGTTTCTTCTTTTTTAAGAAAATTTTTTTTTAATTTTAAAGGTCGTTGAATCCAACCACTTTCCAAAATTCAACAAAATTCCTTTTTATTTACAACCTCATGGCTCTTTTATTCCCAAATTTCAAATAAAAAAGTTTGTTGTCTTTTAAACTTATTATTAAATTTTTTTTGAATTTTCAGGGATCGTTTAAGCGCAACAGAAATGCTTCAATGCCGTAAAGTAATGGAACATGTTTGGGAAAAAATTTTATATCCGGCAGATAATTCATCAAATGAAAATGGAGGTGGTGGAACAACAACTTCAAGTTTACCTGCAATGCCTGAAAATATTGAAGAAAAAATTGAGCTTTTTTGTAATGATCAAAAATTGGATCCAGAAATGGATTTGAGGACTGTTAAACATTTGATATGGAAACAGGTTTTTTTTTGAAATTTTTGGGGAATTAAAAATCGAAGTACTTGAAAAGTAGAGTGTTTAGAGGGGACTAGAGTCAAGGGATTGGGGGTTTTTTAGGGGGGCCAAGGTTCACATCAGGCAATTTTTTCAATTTCCTCAATTCCATAACCTGGACAAGCATACCTGGATTTACACCGAGTATTTTTTATATCCCCTTGATTTTTACTGAAATACAAGGCAAGGTTCTTGTCGTCAAGCTTTCCCATTGAACGGTCTGACGGTCCTTGTTGAAACAATTTTTAAAGAAATTTAAAGAGAATCTCTATCCATTTTCAAGTACTCGATTATGTTAATTAATTTACTTTTTCTTATTTT